GCTGGAGTGGAGGGACCATCGTGGCCAGGGCTTCATGTTGTTGATGACACAGTCTAACCTCAGGGTCCAGCCTCGGGGGGCCTTTGCTTTCCATGAGTAAAGGCGCAAGTATGTGGCTTCCCTCCACCCCTTTCCACAGCCACCCCCCAACCCCAGTTCCTCCGCTATCACATTACAGGCTGGATGTGGCTTTCTCCCCACACCACGAGCAGGGAGACGGGGTCCTCAGACCCAAGGAAGCTGTGTGCTCGGAGTTCTGAGCCCCCTCTGAGAACCGCGGCGAGTTTGTCTGTTGCACAATAAGAGGACAAGAGGAGCTCCAGGTCCCGAAGAGCCACAGTGAGGGCGGTGAGTGGGAGTCAAGGCTGGGGGTGGGCAGCGCTTGCAGCTGTGCGCTGCAGCTGCTCAGTTCCTGGGGACTGTGAGCCAAAGACGCGGCATCCTCACTTAACTGGAATCCCAGGATGGAGCCCAGTGTGACCTGATCATCCGCCGACACAGCCAGAGGCAGGCCGGGGAGGGAAGCACCCAGCCTAGGAGCTACAAAGTCTACAAAGTCCGTCCTCCCACCTCCAGCATCAAGCACTGTCCCTGACACAGTGAGCCCATCGTAACTCCTGGACGGGGGGAAAGAACGAACGCTCTCACACAGGAGCACAGTCTAGTCCATCTGCAAAATGAGGCACAGGCAGGGCAGGTGTTGCTGTTTTGCAGACAGCAGAATGAGTTCAAAAGCATTAAGTGTCGCATCTGAGATGGCCCAGCTAGGATTGGTCTTTCTGCAGGACCACGGTGAATCTCAGTGCAGCTATTCAGGACTATATCCTGTGACTCAGCATGAACTTCTCTCAGGATATAGCTGCAGAGAAAATAGCCTTTCAGGAGCCCGGCTTCCTGGATGTGGTGTCAAGGCCAGGTTTAGACCCTGCTTTTTCCTGCACACTTAGAGGCCTGTCTGCCTCCCTTTTTAAGCAGCTCCTAGCTAGGGGACCCTCACTGTCTCTATTGTCACGTCTGACTCGGGAGATCTGGGTCCCTGAGATACATGTGCAGGGATGGTGGCTTTCCTCCTGAAGCCAGGGGAAGAATGACATTATACGCACCAGTTCCTTTTTCTCACACCCTCAACAGAAACTTCAGCTAATCTAGACCACAAAGAAAGTTCCTGGAATTCAGCAAGCGACTAACCTGGGACCTCAGAGCAGTGTTTTGGCAAGGAGGTCCCCAAAGCTGGTGGCTGGGCTGGAGCTGAATGTCTGAGCTGGAATATTATGTTTTCTCAACACTGTGAATCAAAGCCCACACTTCATGCATGCTAGGCAAGGGCACCATCACTGGGCTACATCCCCAGGTCTTTGGGGCTGGGGATTTAGCTCAGTGGCACAGCGCCTGCCTGGCAAGCGCAAGGTCGTGAGTTCAGTTCCTGGTACTGGAAAAAAAAAAAAAAAGAAAAAGCAGCTCTTTAAAAATTTTATTTTGGCCGTGCATGGTGGCGTATGCCTGTAGTCCCAGCAGTCAGGAGGCTGAGGCAAGAGGATCGCTGCGAGTTCAAGGCCAGCCTGGGCTACAAAGTGAGCTCAAGGCCAGCCTGAACTGCATAGTAAGGCCCTGTCTCAAAAAGACAAAAAAATTTTTTTTTTTATTTTGATACAGGGTCTGGCTAAATTGCCCAGGCTAGGCTCCAACTTGTGGACCTCCTGCTTCAGCCTCCCAAGTACTTGTACAGTTATGTAACTCTGCGTTTGGCTTGAAACAGCTGAGATCCCCTAGCTGGGCATCTTACATCACTCGGCCCTTCTCAAATCATTCGGTTTCTTTATGGTGACAGTGAGGGACGGAATACAGAAATAAGGAGAAGACCTCAGGTTCGGTGCTGGCTGTGTCACTCATTCATTAGAGATCTTTTCTTTACCTCAGTTTCATCTGGAAAATAGGAAAAACAAACCCAGTCTGTATCACAAGGCAGTTTGACCTCCAAATGCCTTAAGCACAAGACAGAACTACTATACAAAAAATAGAATAAGCTACCTCTTACGGAAAAATAGAGAGCAACAAGGGTACCTTCTGGGTGCCCCAGAATGCTCTGCTGCTGCTCCTTCACTGATTAATTCACCATAAAGCACCAACATGATTAAGGCATGTGGCAAGTGCTGAGCGAGATCCGAAGGTGTCTAAGATGTGTACTTTGGCTCCAAAGAATGAAAAACTAGATTTAAAAACTAGTCTAGACTGCACTGAAAGATGACCAGAGATCTCAGGAAAGTCCAAAGATCAGCAGGCTGGAAAGGGCAGTCCTATGAAGCATCGGTGGAAAGATGCTTTAGGAGAGTCCACTCAGGTGAAGAGGCAGCAAGGGGCAGCAGGGGACAGAAGGGTGTACGCACTGCCTAACGGTCCGGTCCAGGAGGAAATGAGGTCATCCTGCTCTCAAAGAATCAGCATGACAGCCTCTAGCCAAGTAATTTGGAGTCATGAGAGCCGCTGGGGCAGCGTCGTGAATCATGACAGACTGCTGGGAATTTCCTAATAGTTAACCTAGGAGTTTCGGGGTAAGTCCTCAGGCTGTAACATCTCTGTTTACATTTTGATCACGTTTATTTACAATTAATGGGTTCTCAGATCTAAACAAAACCGGCCGCAATCTTCTAGAGGATGTAGGACGATGGGCTCTGAGATCGGTGGAAGCTCTGACTCAGTGGCCCCCGAAGGCTGGCGATGAGCAGGCGCAGCACTAACCCTGCAGGATGTGGGGTTGGTCACCTGCCTCCCCGAAGCTGGGTGGTTAACCTGCACTTCCCCATCCTGAGAGCTCTCGCTGTGGCACAGCGAAGGAGCCGCCCCACCTCCTGGTGCTCTCCCTGCTTGCTTTCTGACCCTTTCAAGTGTGGACCCAGGCGCAAGGTCTAGGATTGCACGGCAGCAAAATGCTATGGGTGTCAGCAAGGCTTGGGCCCTGATGAGTGATGAGGCTGCAGCCTCTTCCCCCTGTAAAGGGAGCCAGTCCGCTGGGTAGCATTGAAATGACCCCAAACCTTAGTGCCCAGCCCTTGGGGAAAAGGAATGGAAGTGAATGAACCGCAATGTCCTTGCTGTGCTCTTCCAACTGTGCCTGGCTCACGTGCCTGTGGACACACAGATGTGTATGCTTGTCCTTAGGCAGGAAGGGCAACAGGAGCTATTTACACATGATCTTTCTAGAGGCCAATTTTATTTGATAAAGAATCTTTCTTTCTTCCTTTCTTTCTTCCTTCCTTCTTTCTTTTCCTTTTCTTTTTGCAGTAGTAGTGTTTGAACCCAAGGCTGTTGCTCTGAGCCACATCCTCAGCCCTCTTCAATTTTTTTATTTTGAGGAAGGGTCTTCTTCCTGTCACTGAGTTGCCCAGGGTGGGCTCAAATTGTGATCCTCCTGCCTCGGCCTCTAGGATTGCTGGGATTACCGGTGTGCGCTACCACACCATGTCTAAACAATCGTTTTCTTATCTTAATATAAACAATGCTGTATAGTGAAGTAGAATACTAAATATACATATATTCACTTATTTAATTATTTTGTAGGGGAGGAGGGAGGGTAGGGAAGTGGGAAAAAAGAACCAAGCTATATCATGTACAGGTACAAATTCTCTGTGATGAACGTGATCATTATGTATATCTAAAATGTACCAATAAAATCTGGTTGTAAAAAAATCCAGGGAGAAATCTCTGCCTGTCCCTCTGGAAAAAAAAAAATTATTCAGTTATTTTCCTGGGCATCAAGCCCAGGACAGGGCACAAGCTAGGCAGCACTCTACCACTGCTACATCTCCAGCCTAAATGCTTTTACAAATGTGTACTCAGGCCGGGCATGGTGGTGGACGCTGTAATTCCAGCACTTGGGAGGCTGAGGCAGGAGGTTCATCACGAGTGTGAGACCAGCCTGGGCTACTAAGTGAGCTCAAGGCCAACCTGAACTGCATATCGAGACCCTACCTGAAACACACACACACACGCGCGCACACACACACACACACACACACACACACACGCAAAGTGTACTTATCTTTTTGGAATGGATGAAGCAAGGATATGTTTTTCAAAAAACATGAAACAAGTTTAAAAGGGCATACAGTGAAATATGTCTTCCTCTTGCCTTCCTCTTACCAGACTCCCCACTTCTCTACTCTGAGATGAGAGCCAAACTTCCCATATATGCACAGTTTAGTGAGCATTAACAAGGTTTTACTATTCCACTCTTTATTAACTCATTTCCCAGGCAAATAAACAGACTGTTCATTATAGGAACTTTCTAACAGGCCCACTGACACTTAGGTGGGAAGCATCCATACTTTGCACCGCTAAGTCTGGGTTCCCACAAACCCACAGTAGTCATCCAATCCTTGCCAGGCTTTCCGCGGCCCCTTCCGAGGCCGAACCGTGTTCAGAATAAGATCTGGCCTTGCCTTTGCCCCTAGGATAACAACTACTAAACTCTCTTCCCACTGAGCAATAAAGCCCTTTCGTCATCCGCCTACCGCTTGTGCGGTGACATCTGCGGACACCAGGTGGCCCCTGTTGGCCGGTGTTTTTGTGCCGGCGTCTCAGGGAGTTTGCCCTATCCGGTTTTCACGTTGACACAGATATCATACGAGCCGAGGACGCTGCCCCTGTATGCACGGGTCTGGATCACTGTCCTGGGTCGGTGGCGGCAAAGGGTGCAGAGGGTGGAGAACTGATCAGGGGTCTGGAGAGGAGGCTGCGCAGCCGCGCGGCCTGAGATTCCCGGGACGCTGCAGGGGGCGGGTCCGGGGCCAGGTGAATGGCAGGAAGGGCGCGGAATGGACCACAAGTCTCTGAGTCCCTCCGTCCAGATCAGCGATCGCACACACACACACACGCACACGCACACGCACACACGCGCACGCTGTGTGTCAAAGTGGCGGAAGCGCGGGGTGCAGAGCGCGGGCCGGGGAAGGGGCGGGGACCGCGCGGGGCGGGGCGGGGCGGGCGGATCCTGATATAGAGCAGCGCCGCGGGCTGCGCTCAGCTAGAGCCCGGATCGCGAGGCGGCGCCCATTGCCCCGCACAGCCCGAGCCCTTCGACCCCGCAGAGCCCCGGCGCCCCAGGCTGCAGCCCCGGTGAGTGCGGCTGCCTTCGGCTCCATTCGCCTCCCGGGGCTCCGGTCCTGGGCGCCCCCGAGGGTGCCGGCCAGGCTGCGCAGGAGCCCCGAACCCCAGAGGGAGGCGCGGCCTGGCCCGAGCCCCGCAGGGGCCGCGGGCTCCCCGCACCCCCGAGCCGCAGTGACCGCGCCGCGCCTTCTCGCTCCCCGCGGCCGGCCTGACTTCTCCCTGCCTTGCAGAGCCGCTCTCCGACCCCCAGCCTCGCCACCATGAGCGTCCTGCTGGCGTCCCTGCTCCTCTGCGCGCTAGTAGTGAGCGACTCCGAAGTGAGTGGCGGCCCTGCTCTGCGTGTGGCACGCAGGCCGGGGCTTGCGGGACCCCTGGGCGGCGCCCCGGGAAGCGAGAGGGCTGGAGTCCTCCGGCTCCCAAAGCCGCTGCCGCAGCGCCAGACTCTCCCCGGGAGCCGAGCAAGGGTGGCCCTCGGGGCCTGGAGAAGCGGGAGGGTTGGAAGCCCAGGGACATCCTTGGCTAGAGGGCTGCGCCTGGCCGGCTGAAAACCTCCGGCTTTCCATTCAACGAGTGGTTAGACAGGAACAGGGCGAAGACAGGAGGAGCTGGGGAGGGGGTGGAGTTGGGATTGAGGTCCCTTAATCCCCACTGTGGGGCTCCAGAAGCACAGGAAATCTGGTGACAGCCCCCGTTTCCCGCTCTCTTGCAGGGCAGCCGTGGAATTGGAGCCTCAGATGCAGGTAAATATCGCCCCTTGCCCTCCAGCTGGCTGCACGGACCAGTTGGAAAGCCTCAGGGGCAGCCCCTCCCCGGGCCTCCTGCAGGGCTGGCTTGCCTCCCTTCCTCCTTCTGCAGCCCGGTTTACTCCTCCTTTGTCCTCCGCAGAAAACTGTGGCTGTCTGAACGGAGGTATATGTGTGTCCTACAAGTACTTCTCCAGCATGCGGCGGTGCAGCTGCCCGAAGAAATTCCAAGGGGAGCACTGTGAGATAGGTATGAGGATGCCGATTCTCGCTGGGAAGCAGCAGCACCAGAGATTGCAGGACAGGGAGAGGTGGGTGGGATGAGACAGCAGGCACAAACTGTGGCGCAGGCCTGTGATCCCAGCACTCAGGAAGCTGAGGCAGGAAGATCGCCACAAGTTCAAGCGCAGCCTGGGGTACCTAGTGAGTACTGTCTAAAAGAAGGTGCAGGTGGAAGACTCTTCCAGAGTCATCTGCCAGGTTGGAAACCCTGTCATCTCTTCCTCCTAATGTCCTCTGACATCCTGCACAGACACAGCAAAAACCTGCTATGACGGGAACGGTCACTCTTACCGAGGAAAGGCCAACACTGACACCAATGGACGGCCCTGCCTGGCCTGGCACTCTGCCACTGTCCTTCTGCAAAAGTTCCATGCCCACAGATCTGATGCTGTCCAGTTGGGCCTGGGGAAACACAATTACTGCAGGTGAGGCAGAGAGGCGAGGACCAGAATTCCTCCCGCGACCCCTCGGGAAGCGTGGCCGCCATCCACTTCTACTCCCGCGTGCTGGCCAGGCCTCTGCTTGAGCCTTCCTGGAGCGGGAGAATGCAGGAGTGGCGTTCTGGTCGGAAGGACATTCTTGACCTTCGTATTGCAGGAACCCCAACAACCAGAGGTGGCCTTGGTGCTACGTGCAGATTGGTCTAAAGCAGTTTGTGCAGGAGTGCATGGTGCCCGACTGCTCTCTTGGTGAGTGTCGCTGATGGCTTGGGACAGTGGGGCGGAAGGGGACATGCTCATAATGCTGCAGTCCCCCATCACCGGAGGGAGGAGAAGGGAGGCCTGCCCGAGTGGGATACTATGTCCTCACCACCCAGACACGCCTGTCCCTCTCCTCTAGGAAAAAGGCCCCTTTCTCCCCCCGAACAGCAAGAGTTCCAGTGTGGCCAGAAGGCTCTGAGGCCCCGCTTTAAGATTGTGGGCGGAGAGTTCACCACCATCGAGGACCAGCCCTGGTTTGCAGCCATTTACAAGAAGAACCGGGGAGGCTCTACCACCTACGTGTGCGGGGGCAGCCTCATCGCGCCCTGCTGGGTGGTTAGCGCCACCCACTGCTTCATGTGAGTCCCTCGGTCCCTTCTCTGTGCTGCTTCGGCCCGCCTTCACCTCCTGCCCATCACTCCCGTCTCCTTCCCTGCAGAGGCCCCCACCCTGATTGTCCCGCCCACCTCTCCGTGTGGGCCCCCAGCCCTGGGGACAAGCCCTGCTCTGAGGCTGTGCGGAGGGAGGAGGGAGTGGCAGGCTGGCTGACAGGTCTCCTCTGCCACAGCAACCACCCGGTCAAGGAGGACTACATAGTGTACCTGGGCCGGTCGGGGCTCAGCTCCCCTACCCCTGGGGAGATGAAGTTTGAGGTGGAGCAGCTGATCCTGCACGAGGACTACAGCGCTGAGACCCTGGCGCACCACAATGACATTGGTGAGCGGGGCTGGTGGCGGCTGGGCCCAGAGGGGCCCCGAGGACCAGTCCCAGCGGGGCTGAAGGGGTGGGGGACTTGAAGCCTGTACCTTACCCAGCCAAGGGGCTGGTGGGGATGAGTGGAGAGTGAAATATGTGCGAGGTCAGATGCCCCTCTAGAATCCCCCGTGTTTCCAAACAGGGAGCTGCTCCTGAGGGGAAATAGCCCCATGGGATGGATTTTATGTCTCACTTTATTTTGTTTTTTTGGAGACAGGGTCTCACTTTTTGTAGTTCAGGCTGGCCTTAAATTCACTCTGTAGCCTAGGCTGGCATGGCACTCATCACAATCCTCCTGCCTCAGCCTGCTGAGTGCTGGGGTGACAGGCGTGCACCACCATGCCCCATTTAGGCTGCATTTTAGCTCAGCTTCTTCAGGAAGAAATAACCTTTGCCATTGTCCATGGCAGCCCAAGCTGCCTAAGTCTTTATCAGCAGCTGGAACAAAGCCTTTGGAGCATGGGGCAGGGGAGGCGTCTAGGTATCAAGTTCCCACCCCACCTCCTTGGATGGCCACTGAGCCTGACTGATCCAGGGGTGGACACAGCCACTCCCTCAGCAGTGGGAGGGCAGAGGTGGCGGCCACCTGACCAGGTGGTGGTCTTCTCCTCTGACTCCCTCTGCCACCCCCAGCCCTGCTGAAGATCCGCACCAGTGACGGTCAGTGTGCACAGCCGTCCCGATCCATACAGACCATCTGCCTGCCCTCCCAGTACAGCGATCCCCGTTTCGGCACAGGCTGCGAGATCACGGGCTTTGGACAAGAGAATGTTAGTAAGTGACGTGGGGCTGACCAAGCGGTACCGGGGAAGGGTGGTGACCCGGAGTGAGAGCAGCATGATGCACTGTGGGGACAGAGATGGGCGCACCATGGGGGTGGCAGAAGGGCCCAGAGATGAGGAGGGGTGCCCTGTTCAGGGGGTGATGGGCCACGAAGGTAAACAGTAGAGGTGAGCGGGTGTGGGCGGGGTAAAGGTTCAACCTGGGGTGGAATATGAGTAAGTGCCCCTCCCTGGCAGAGTCCCGGGAGACAGACAAATCTTAATGCGAACTCCTGGTTTTTTCTTCCATCCAGCTGACTATCTCTATTCAGAACGCCTGAAAATGACCGTGGTGAGGTTGATTTCCTACCAGGAGTGTCAGCAGCCCCACTACTATGGCTCGGAAATCACCCCCAAAATGTTGTGTGCTGCTGACCCGCAGTGGGAAACAGATTCCTGCCAGGTAAGAATCCTAAGCAACTCTCTCTGTCGCCCACACCTCCCCGGAGCTCCTGGGTCTGACCCTGCCAGCTTGGAGGAACCTCTCTGTTCTGCTCAAAGCTTGAAGAAGCCAAGTCTTTGGGAGCCTTCAGCCACCTTTATGTGTTCCCCAAATATTTGACATGATCTCAGTCTATGTTAGACACTTTAGACTTGAGGGGGTGATTTATGAAGACCAGGAGAAGCACTGGTGTGGTGGTGCACCCTGTAATCCCAGCTCTCCGAAGGCTGAGGCAGGAGGATTGCTGTGAGCTCAAGGCTAGCCTGGGCTACATGGTGAGTTTAGGGCCAGCCTGAACTACATAACAAGACCCTGTCTCAACAAACAAACAAATAATTCCCCAAAAAAGCAAAAACAAAAAAAGAAAAGAAAGAACATAACCGGAAGGAAGAGGGAATTGGAGGTGGTTGGAGGTGGGATCTGAAGGGCGGCGCGGTCCCTTCTCCGGGGCTCATGTCCTGTGTCTCTGGTTTCCCAGGGAGACTCCGGAGGGCCCCTGGTCTGCCTCATCCATGGCCGCCGGACTCTGACCGGGATTGTGAGCTGGGGCCGCGGGTGTGCCATGAAGAACAAGCCGGGCGTCTACACCAGGGTCTCTCGCTTCCTGCCCTGGATCCGCGCTCACACTGGGGAAGACAATGGTCTCGGCCTCTAGGACGCCTAGGGAGCCGAGGGAGGAACGAAACAGCCGACCGTTCCCATGCTGACCATTTCTGCCGGGAGCTGTCTCCATCCGCTGAAGGAAGAGACAGGACGGTGGGCTCTGCGGAGGTGGCTTGGCGTGCGCCGCCCACCGGCGTGAGGACAATCGCTTTACCCTCAGACCCGAGCTGGGTGCTGGCCGCCCAGACGCCCCTGGCCAGATGAAGAGGTGGTCTTGACTCAGCATAACACTGACCAGTAACTGACCTTTTCTGGACGAAAGCCTCCTGCCCTGGCGCCTGTGCGCGGTGGGACGAGAACTGGCGCCCCAGTAGGGGCGACCCTGGAGGCCGGGGCCGGGAAACGAGTCACTTCCCAGCTAGGCAGTGTGACGGCTGAGGTCTCTGGAGGAGCGTGCCCACGGGGAAATAGCAGTTTGCGGAGCAGAGACGCTACGGGGCGCGGGAAGAGCTCTGGCATCCCGAGAACGGAGCCGGAAATCTTCTATCCGCCGGGACGTTCTTGTGCCGAGCCACGAAGGGGGGCGTCAGCGCTGCTGTGTTGTCGGGTCCCATCTAGGTCTGGACGTTTCCCTACACTGTGGTTTGTGATGTCACTCAGAGTGGTCTGCTGGAGAACCTGTGGCTCAGCCGGGGGCCCGGGGGCCCCCCACGTGCTGGGGCCGTGAATGTCTCCCTGGGGTACTCGTGACCACGCTGCTTCACTTTCACACAGATGTCCCTTTCTGGACCAGTAATCATCCTTCTGACTTTTCTGTCTGATTATCCATGCCTCACTGGATGAGGTGAGGGCTACTCCTGTATACTGAATATTTAATAATTATATTCTGCGATTTTTATTTATATCTATTTTTATAATTCTGAATACAGGTGATCAATAAAATGTGATTTTTTTTTCTGAAGATTTTGGTCTCTCTCTCATGTGTGTAGGGAAGGGAGGGAGGTGTATAAAAAGAAGCAGATGAGCCAGATGTGGTGGTGCACGGGTGTAATCCCAGCACTCAGGAGGTTGAGGCAGGAGGGATACTGTGACTGAGGCCAGCCTGGGCTACATAGTGAGTTCAAGACCAGCCTGAAACATAGCAAGTCCCTGTCTTAAAAAAAAAAAAAAAAAAGGAGAAAAAGAAAAAAAAGAAATAGAAGCAAATGATGGAAACAACATGTATGCTTAAATTTCTAGTAGGCTTTTGAGCACACAATCCTTGGGCTGACCTCAATCAAAAAGAACACTTGCATGAGTACAAACTGCTGATCCAAAACACCAGTGTGAATCTGTAGCATCCAGAAATAGAAAACAGTTCCCTTCCTTTGTGGGGCTGTGTTGAGTTTTCTCATTGTGCTAATGCAGCATCTTTGCATTAACGTGGCTTTGGAAGTTGGGATTAGGCCAGCTGTAGAGTAGGGCTTCCGTAGCACCTAAACTATAAAAAGGTGTCCTGAGCCAGGGGCCCATTGCTTGGTAAGCGGTGTGCAGGGAGTTTTAGCTCCCAATTTCTTCCTCAGACTGATGGCTTTGTGCAGTGCACATCTTGTACAACTGTACACAGAGGTCCTTTTTAGGATCAACACTCTGTACCCAACAACCCCTGGGCTGACCTCAACGAAGAAGAACACTTGCATAAGTGAAATGTGCTGATCCAAAACCCTAGTCTGAGTCTGTGACGTTCAGGGAACAGAAAACAACTTCCCACTCTGCATGTGGGGCTGGCCTTGAGTTTTCTCATATTAATGTATTAGCCATGGCTATTCCTAAGATGGGGGGGGCACTGAGAATGCCAGCGGACATCCTAATGGGCGTGGCCATTTTGGAGCAAATATCAAGTTCTGAAGAACCGGGGCGCAGAAGCTAGGCTGGGAGGTAGAATTGGAGGCCAAATTATTGGAATTCCCCAGTCGTGTTCATGGGCTTGGCAGCGCTTCTTGACGAGTCACCTGAGAACTTTTAAAAACATGCGCAGACCTCTGCCCCACCTTTCGATATTATGAGTCAGGTCAGAGCTGGTGCCGGGGCTCGTGATGCTAGGAAAGCTCCCCGGGCACTTCTGCCATGCACCACTGACTGGGGACCTTTGGGGACGATTGCTCAGGACAGATGAAGGTCCTGGGACACTCAGGACGTGGCCGCCATGAGTTCTCAACAGGAATAGTCACGTTTTCTGAGCAGAGTGTTGGGGGTGCAACATCCGGGGATTCTGAGGCACTCTGGAGATAAAGAACCTAGAATATTGAGTTTCCTTTTCTATTTTAGTTTTGGTTTTTTGAGATTGGGTCTGCCTGCATAGCTCACGACCCTGTTTCCTCAGCTTCCAAGTGCTAGGATTACAGGCATGTGCCATCATGCCTAACAAGTACCGGACCTTTAATCCCGCTAATGTCACCGTCGTTTTACACAGCGTGCCGAAGCAGTCTGAGCACGGATTTGGGAATCAGGCTCCTGAGGAATTCTAAGCCTTTCAGCATCAACCTGGCATCTAACCAAAGCACCCACACGGTGGCTTTTACAAAACCGAGCAAATGTGCCTAAACTGAATGGGAATTTCCTTCCCTTTCCCATCCCAGGATTGCACTATTTGGAAATAGAAACTGTATAGGAAAGAAAACTGCACGATTTGAAGCTCAGAGGCCCAGCCCGGGCTGACTTGCTGCTTAGCTTCTGCATTTACCCCCAGGGGCCAAGAAAGATCCTGTTCAGACTTGAGCAGCTCCAGCATCAGAGATCTGAGACGCTGAAAACAGGAAGTCTGAGCCCCGCCGGCAGGTTGAGCAATGAGGCCGTTTCCCAGCCAGCTGTTGTCTCTGCCCGAATCTCACAAACCGCGCTCGGGTTTGTAAATCAGTCTGCCCTTGAGCTCACTATGTAGTCCATGCTGGCCTCAACTTGTGGCGATCCTTCTGCCTCAGCCTCCTGAATGTGGGGATTATAGGCATGCACCACCATGCCCAGGCTTGGGCCCATTTTTATGGTAGGGAAAATGAAGGCGCAGAAGAATTAAGGGAGCTGCCTGAGGCAATGCAATCACAAGTGCTAAGAGCCAGGCTTCAAACCCAGGCAAGGGCTCGCCATGCACGGGTCCAGCGCTCTGACACATCAGCCGGGTGGAATGGGGAACGGAGAGCAGCCTTTCTCCCCAGGCTGTACTCCAAGGATGCTGAGCTTCCAGGCACAGTGGTGGGGATTCCAACCCTCCCCTGGATAGTAATTCTCTCCTGCTAGAAGATGCCCAGGCCATAGGAAGAGATCACACGTGCTTTCTCAGGCTCTCCTCAGCCTCTGCTGCTGCTGCTGCTGAAATGTGATTTCACCGACGTGGTTTCCGTTTGCACACAGCCTGTCCTGAAATATCCAGAGGCCCATTCTACTGGATTTCCACTGATGTGGTGCCTTTCCCAAGCCTGCTCCCCACAGTAGCCACGTCCCAGCACACCGGCACACCCCTCCAACTCATTCCCGTGGGGTCTGTCTTTCTCCCACTAGAAACACCTGAGCTGCCCTTTGAGCTGGACAGTGGGAGGAGTTGCTGAGGTGTTTTTTCAAATAACGGTTCTACTGGTTTATAATTCACCCACTTAAAAGATGCAACCTGGCCAGGCATGGTGGCACACACCTGTGTTCCCTGCGCTTAGGGAGGCTGAGGCAGGAGGATCACCAGTCTGAGCCCAGCCTGGGCAACTTTGCATCTTAGCAAGATCTTGTTTCAAAATAAAAATAAAGCCGGGCGTGGCAGTGCACACCTGTAATCCCTGCATTCGGGAGGCTGAGGCCGGAGGAGTATTGTGAGATTGAAAGACCAGCCTGGGCTACAAAGTGAGCTCAAGGTCAGCCTGAAATGCATAGCGAGACCCTGTCTCAAAAAGACAAAAAAAAAATAAAATAAATAAAATAAATAAAAAATTAAATAAAAGAAAATTTAAAGTGCAGAAGTTGGGCATGGTGGTGCACAGGAGGCTGAGGAAGGGGGGTTGCGGGGAGTTTGTACTTACCCTGAACTACATAGTGAGATCTTGTCTTTTTTTTTTTTTTTTTTTTTCTTGTCTTTTAAAGATGGGGTCTCGCTATGCAGTTCAGGCTGAACTTGAGCTCACTTTGTAGCCCAGGATGGTTTTGAACTCACAAGGGTCCTCCTGTCTCAGCCTCCCGAGTGCTGGGATTACAGGCATGTGCCACTATGCCTGCCCAAGATCTTGTCTTAAAATAAAAGTATTATTAAAAAAGGATCAGGGAGGAAGTCCAGTTTAAAACCCCTGATTCCGGTTCAATTTCCAGTACCTCAAATAAATAAGTAAAGTGCATAACTTGATGATTCTCAGTATATTCACAGTTGGGTGACATTCTAATCAGTTTTATAATTTTTTTCTTTTGCAGTGCTGGGGATTGAGCAAGAGTCTTGTGCACGACAGGCAAGTGCTATATGACTGAGCCACACTGCTGGCCCCAATTTTAGGACTTTTCCTCCCCTCACCCATAAACCTCGACCTCATGAGTGCTTGACCAGTCCGTCATCTGCTTCCTGTCTCTACAGCCTTGCCCATTCTGTTTTTTTTTTTTTTTTCTTTTTGAGACAAGTTCTCCCTATGCAGTTCAGGCTGGCCTTGAGCTCACTTTGTGGCCCAGGCTGGCCTTGAACTCACAGCGATCTTCCTGCCTCAGTCTCCCGAGTGCTGGGATTACAGGTATGCGCCACCACGCCCGGCTCGCTTTGCCCATGCTGGACATTTCCTATAAACAGGATTATACAAGGTGTGGGCTTTTGTGACTGCCTCTTTCCCTTAACGTCATGTTTTCAACTTTCATCCATGCTGTAGCACATTGCAGCGCTGCCGCTGAGCTTTAAATAACAAGCTGGGGACAAGGACAGACTAGGTTGCCTTCTAACCTGGTAGTCATATTGAAAGTCGTTCAACAACCATTTTTCTTTTGCTTTTTTTTTTTTTTTCTTTGAGACAGGATCTCATATGTAGTTCAGACTGGCCTTGAATTTGCGGTGATCTTCCTGCCTCAGCCTCCCGAGTGCTGGGATTACAGGCATGCACCACCATGCCTGGCTTGGAGGCAGTGATGTTTTACTTAGGCCTTTAAAGATGCACAGAATCTACAAAGCAAACAGGAGACAGGAACTCTAGGCACCTGGGAAGATTGCGGAGGATGATAAGACAAGATGTTCTCAAGAAATGCTGAATACACTGCAGTGATGGAGAAAAGAGCTTAAGAGGAAACTGCAGGCAGGAAGTAGTGGCAGAAAGGGCTGGTGGGACATGGCTGGGGAGAGGCCTTGGGCAGGGCTCTGCTCAGGAGCAGGTACCAGTTCT